TATATAGATTTATAACTAAAACACATACTTACAACCGACTCATTAGCCGGAAAAGGGGAGGCCTACCAACATCCAAAGGTAGCCTAAATACCACGACACAACACAACAAAAAACACACAAAAACTCCCCAACGAGAGAATACAAACTCCCCAACGGAAGAATCTAACACTCCCCAACGGGAGAATCAACACTTCTAAAACTAAAATCGGGGAAGAAAAGCACAAACGCACTCTTATAACACAACACGAACACAAACACAACAAAATAAATAAATTATGGCCCTTCCCACAGCAGCTAAACCAAACAGAACACCAACCAATGACGACGACACCTACGGGCGGTCACCCATACGGACAGAGACCTAGTCCAAGTCTCAAAGCCAGAAACTGCAGATAAATCGCCTAACCAGGTTCAAGACTAAAGGACCGTGACCCTCGCCCAGGTAGACAACCCATATACCCGCGACCGGAGAAAACACTACAAACTCCACCTCCCAAATCCCGACGACCCGGGCCCAGGACACAAGATCCGACCCGACCCGACTCCTCCACTGCAACCCAACCAGCCCAATGGCGGAGAAGAACGGAAGAAGAGAGGAGAGTGGAACAGCCCAATCTCGGCCCCGACCACCACCAAGGAGAGGATTGGAGCCACAACCGCCTCGCACAGCCTCATCGGAAGCCTGCCGCCGCCTAGACGACGAGGAATCGCCGGACCACATCTTACCTTGACAACCTAGAAGGAGGCGAAAACAAGGAAGAACCCGTCGCGTCGCTCGAAGAAGAGGCCGCCGCCACATCCGACGGTTCTCTGGAAGCTAGCCGTACAGCACGGTGATGGCCGCCGTCATGGTGGCCCGAAGGCCCTGCTGAGGGAAGGCAGAAATTGCTCCGATTTAGGGTTTCTGTGGAATTGGGGAAAAGGTCGGCTGAAAACTCTTACGCAAAAACCATCTTAAAACAGTTTTAGTAATTATATATATATATATATATATATATATATATATATGTTATAACCATTGAATTTTAATGCATTTTAAAAGTTAATAACTTTTGTATTTTTTATCCGTTTTACATATATAATATATCAAATTAATCATGTTTTGATGAACTTCGATTTAACATCCATATTGTGTGTATAAACAAATAAATTATATTTATCTATATGACAATAATAAAATTATTTTTTAATATTTATTAGAAAAATAAAATTATTTATAACACATGTAAGTCGCACAACTAAATATATAATAATATATATGTTTTGTAAAAATGTAAATAAAATTTAAAATAAATTTTCTCATTAATTTTAAAATTTAAGAATAATTTTTTAACAAACACCCGTGTAATACACAGGTGTTGTACTAGTTGTATTTATTGCAAAACACTTGTCAATACACTATTAGTGAATAATTGTGGATCACTCCATAAGTCTAGCCATCCGATAGCTCCATAGCATAACTGTATATATTCCTTACTCGTACATGTTTCTTTAGACAAATCGACTTTTATACCTATGGATCCTACTATAAAACTCAAAGTGTCACACATATTCTGACTCACTTGTTGATGCATCTTAATATAGAAGGTTGATTGGTAGACTGTCATATTTAACTATTTCAAGACCATATTTATAAAATTATTCTTAAATTTTAAAATTAACGAGAAAAATAATTTTAAATTTTATTTACTTTTTTTACAAAAAAATATAAATTATTGTATATTTAGAATGACACTTGTTACTTGTGTGACTTATATGCATTATATTGTAGTAATTTTTATAACGTATATCATATAACTACTTGAAATATAGATATATTAATTGATAAATAATTTTATTTTTCTAATTAATATTAAAAAATAATTTTATTATTCTTATAAAGATAAATATAATTTATTATTTTTATACATACTCTATGGATTTTAAATCGAAGCTCATCAAAAGATGATTAATTTGATATATTATATATGTAAAACTGATAAAAAATACAAAAGTTATTAACTTTTAGAATATATTTAAATTCAATGATTATAATAAGAAATGATATTAAAATGCAATTAATACATGTAACCATTGTTTTTTAACTCGGACCGGCCCGCCGGGTCGACCCAGGACTCGGTCGACCCGGAGCCGAAACCGGTCCGGATGGGCTATTTGGACCGGGTAACAACGGATCCGGTCAAACCTGGCCAATCTATCCTTCACCTGGTCGACCCGGGTCAACCCGGTTGACCCGGTCCCTGTATTTTTTTATTTTTCTAAATATTTTTTTATATAAAAAATAAAAACTATGTAAATATATTGATATAGTAAATATTTATTATGAGATACAACTTTTTTAACACTTTAATGTACAAATTTTATATACAAAATATTTATTTTTGTTACTTTTGTGTATATTTATATGTCAAAAATAATATATATATATAATTTAAAAAATTTTAAAATTAATTATCTGGTTCAACAATTGACCTGGTGACCCGGCGGTTGAACCGGTGACCTGGAGACTTGCCCGAGTCGATTTTTGGGCCGGGTTTAAAAACTTTGCATGTAACGTGACAATAAATAATCAACATATTTATGGATAATTCAGACCAAATTATTTTTAGATTAGAAGTAAATTAAAATCTGCCCAAGCCTAATAACAAAGTAAGTAATTTTGCCACATAGGATCCCGAAACATACGAGCCTGCCACTTAAGTTCAGCAAGTTCTAAATTAATATAGAGGGGATGTAAAAGAAAGTACAAATAAATGAGACCGAGACAATGTAATCATAATTTCTCATTCTCTCAATGATACATTCATCAGCCTCCTTTCTCTTTCACTTTCGTCTTCTTCCTTTTACACTCGATCTCAATACAACAACAACAACAATATAATCTTTTAGTCCCAAACAAGTTGGGGTAGGCAATATCTATATAATATTATTTAATAATATTTCAATAAATGGTTCTTTAATTGATTTGAATCCTCAACCCACGATCTCACTAAGTTTAAATAGTTCTTTAATTTAAGCGGTAATTAATCTTAATTTTGGATCCTCAACATACGATCTCACTAATTTTGATTACTCTTACTTTGGATTCTCTTTAACACAAAACTAGTAATCAACCTGTGCATTTGCACAGAGAAGAATACTTTAAAAGATAACAATATAAAAAAACAAAAATATGAATTAAGAAAATAATGCTCAAAATTGATTTTGATCAAATAATTTATATGGAAGAGCCGTTTACAATCACTTTCTTTATGCTAATACACCCGGCATTTTCATGAGTGAGTGTAACTTAAAATTTGAGTACAGTTTTGTAACTCCCTTGATTGGTTTATGCTCCTAATTTATGGCATTCAAGCAAGTTATTTTGTAACTTAAAAATGAAATTGAATGATGAAAATTTTGGAGGGAGAATAAAATTTAATGCATGATAACTTAAAAATGAAATTTAATGTGAAAATTTTAGAGGGAGAATAAAATTTAATGCATGATAATATAATTTAATGCTTTGTTACTCCTCTTTATATATATATAGATCTCACTAGCTAATCAGTAAGATAGAATGATATAGTGGTTCAGAGATTACAGTTGATCCTCTAATCTATATATATATATATAATTACTAGCTAATAGCATTTAATAAAACCTATTTAATTTTACCTATGTGGAAATTTAATAATTTTCCCTCCAAAAACCGTTACATTTTGATGTATTTAATCTTTCATTTAATCATTAAATAATTAATACTCATCACTTCAAAATTACAAAAATCATTTTAAACTTTTGATTAATGACAATTGACCATATAATGTGTTGACCGTATAATGTGATTAGATGTTATTATTGTTGTTACATTTAATTTTTTTTTTGAAAATAAAAAATATATTTAAAATTCCTAAATAAATAATAAATAATTCACAAATAAAAGACGTACCAAAATATAAATTACATCCAATCAGATAAACGTAATTTAAAAAAAAATATTCCAACTCTTTTAATTGTAAATTTGGTCTGCAAAAAAGTGAAAGAAAAATAATTAATCATTATATGCATACAGACTCACAATAATTTATTAATATCTGTGCAAATGCACATGTCGAATACTAGTTTATTGATAAAACGAAGTAACAGAATGGTATAGTGGTTCACTAAGTAAATCAATTTCATATACTGTTTTTTAGGAAAAAAACATATGTATATTTTAAAAATGGATGTTACCTTATCCTTTTTTCTTTTCTTAACCACTTTTTCAATTATTTAGTGAATAAATTTCAAATTAATTTTCTTGGTAAAATTATCGGTGCTCTTTTCTAATGGTTTGTTGAACGATCTCATTTTCCACACAATTTTGGCAAAATCCGTCACTATACTTTCAAAATAATATACTTATTATTACATAGAAAACTCGATTTTCAAAATGAGATTAGATTTTTGGTGAATAGTTTCGATAAGTTTTATTTAATAAAAAATGCGTGAATATACCATGATAATATGTATTTTTTGTAACATCATATTCGTGTTTTCGTCCAAAAAATATTTAACAAACTTTGCAATTTAGGAGAAAATATTTTATTTTGAAACATCCATAACATATTTTTTTTATAACATTCAATTTAGGCAAATATAATATTTAATTTTGAGTAAGAATAATTTCAATTCAAATAACGCATCAATACAGTCTAAACTAAAAATGTACAATAATATAATAAATATTTTGGTATGGAAATGCATCAATACAACCAAAATATAGAAAATTTGATATTTATTTTAGTTGATAATATATCATTCTAGTATTCACCATAAGTTAATGCGAATATGAAAAAATATTATCAAATATTCATATCTATTATTTAATGAGAAATTTAAATGTATAAATATTAACAAATATTTATTACCCGTACATCGTACGAGATTCGTACTAGTTCATTGATAAAACGAAGTATCAAATATTGCAGCAAAATTGACCTTTTTGCAAGTCATATATGGAGGAATTGGAATACCACCTTATTTGTGTCACTCCCTGTTTTCTCTTTCTTTTCCTTTTCCACCCAAAATATGTCATTAGTTCCATGCTGAACCCAATATTCTCGTGCTTATATAAACAGCAAACAAGCAAACAATCAAATAAGTTAATCTTAATTCACTCGTCTCTCACACACACATACACATACTTGACCAACACAAATCACATGAACACCACACCTTAATTAAGAGTCCTCGGTCTGAAAAATGATCGTCTCCACGTTTCTTGCTCTTGTCCTAGCAACTTTCATTCATTTATGCAATTCTTTAATCATTAAACCACAAAAATTACGCAAATTATTGAGGCAACAAGGGATTGATGGGCCTCGTCCAAAATTCATCGTTGGCAACATAATCGAGATCAAGAGATCTCGACAAGCTGCCGAACGGGCCGCCGTTGCTCACCCTCACCCGTCGCTCGTCCATAACACGGCCTCGGTTTTCCCTTTTCTCGAGCAATGGAGAGAACAATATGGTATGCCTTTATATGCTTGTTCATTTTTATAACGAATTTTTACTCAATTACTAGGTGTAGCGAGTAATAAGATTATTTTGGAAGATCACATTTTTGCTATAAATTAAGTTTTGTTGTTTTAATTTAGATAAAATAAAATTATGTAATATGCTTTAGTTCTGTACATATAGCAAGGTTGCCTAGTAAATTTTGTGATTGGAAAAAATATAAGTAAGAAACAAAAATCAAGCTCACTATGTCATATTGCGAAAAAATGCAAAATATGTCCACTAAGTCCACAAGTTAGGACTGTTTAAAAAATTACTTTTCCAATAGGGATTCGCGAAAGTACGTACCCAATAGGCAATAAATGTGACCAAATTTTCAAAACTAGTCAAAAAATCATACGGAATGGCTAGATGATATTAATTTGGACCATTTTTATTAGTACAATATATTTTCAAATATGTACCAACTTATAACTAGGAATAATTTGCAGGTCCATTGTACATGTTTAGTCTTGGAAAAATACAAGTATTGTGCGTGAATTCTCCAGATTTGGTGAAGGAGATAACAACGTGCACGTCACTTGATTTTGGGAGGCCTTCGTATCAGCAAAAGGATCTTGGACCTTTGCTCGGACAGGGAATTTTGACTTCTAATGGACTTGTTTGGGCACGCCAGAGGAAAATCATGGCACCTGAGTTGTTCATGGACAAAATCAAGGTAAAATGCTACTTGTATTTCAATGAGGCACACTATTGCTAAGCCCCCTGTAAATAATTTTTAAAATAAAATATAAATTTTAGAAATATCATAAAATAGAAAAACATAGTAAAAACTGAAATGTTAGGGGCGTATTCATTGAGATTTTTTTAATTGTCTTGCGATTTAAATTAGTTTTAGATTGACATCCAAAGTATCGAACGGATACATCATCCAAAATATCGTGACAACAATCTCAAAAGGCTGACATATCTATACTTATATAATGAGAATTAACATTTATCCAAAATAGTAGGTCAAATTATGATCAATGTGGGATTTGCATTAAATATTTTCTAAAACTGGTAATTTTTATCCTTTTCACACTTCTCATTAATTATGTCATTTTCACACATCTAATTAATTCATTAATTACGACATAATTATCATAAATCATTCCGTCTGAGCTTTTATCGTTAAAATGTATAGCGATCTGTTATGACCTTATCCCATTGATATTTCCATGAAGCATGCTATTTTTTGGTAACCACTCTATATTAATAACCAGATATTTGGTTAATGATAGCACACGTCTTTATTTCAAGGAGCGGATATTCTTTGACCTTTAATTAATCTGAACTGATTGCCTTGACTTTTCAATTTTTAAAAACACTTTTTTTTTAAATATTTCGGGTTAAGATTCGGATTTCATTATACAAGTCATCGGATTGTTTGAATGAAAATGAATGGAAAGAACACCAAAAACATGTAGCCTTATTCATATAACCAATCCTAAAATATTAGTTTATTCACCAAAAAGAGACAAATCCTAGAAATCCTAAAATATTAGTTTGTTCACCAAAATATTAGTTTGATTTTTAGGATTTGTCTCTTTTGAAAATATTAGTTTGTGATAAATGAGGAGTTAATCAAACACATAATGTTGTGTACAAGGAGGTTTTTAATAATATATGATTGTTATTATGAACTTTGTATGATTCAACAATGTTCCTATGTATTTTAATGATTTCAATTTCGATCCTAATGCACGTGAGGTTATATTATTCTTTCAAATTTTACATCCCGTGCATCGCACGGGTTACGTACTAGTTATATGTAAGAAAATAAATAATTATTGAATAATCTCAATAGAATAAAGAATAAATCTTAAGACCCCTGAATATCATCCACCATGCTTTAATTGTATTGTCTTGATATTATCTGCATCACTTTGTAATTTCACTTTCATTAATAATGAGTGTGCTTCTTAACCATACTTTCCCTATCAACAACATACAAAAGGAAGTGGTAAACAAACAAGCTAGCACAAATTTGTGAATTACAAGGTCAGTAGGGCCGGTTCTATACTTTCATTTACTTTTCAAACAAAAAATTAACAAATTCAAAATAATTTGACATAATTTTGGAAGCATAATTTACATTTTGTTTGACAATTGTGATGGACTTATTTTTAAAATTAGATAAATCTCTCTATTTTAAATAACTAATAGCGTTCCTTTCGCGAGTGACTTTCACTCGATTATATATAGGCAGTTGATGTTGTTGGGTTGTCCAACCATTAGACTGTCATATTTTTTCTAAAATAAAACTACTATCTTATGTCTAAAATGAAATGACGAAATAAAGTTTAATGATTGATTAGGGAATGATGAGCATGATTAGGGATTCAGCCATGTCGCTGGTAGATTCATGGAAGCATGAAACTGAGGCTTGTGAAGGTGGAATTATTGATATCGCCATTGACGATTACATGAAGAAATTTTCTGGGGACGTAATATCTAGAGCTTGTTTTGGTAGTAGTTATTCAAAAGGGCAACACATTTTCTTGAAATTTGATGCACTTCAAAAGTTGATTTTCAACAAAACGCTGTCCACTGCTGGAATTCCAGGGCTGAGGTAATTCCAACTTGCATGTTATNTTCATTGCAAGTAACCTCCTTAGCTTTCATAGTATTTTGACAAAGATTCAAAATTTGGCACACAAACAATATAAAATACACAACTTTTATATATCGAACACCGGGCCCTTCTTTGATTTTCTTCAATAAAAAGCAAGTACCCAACTATCTTTTGCTTAAGTTAAAAAGTGTCAGTATTGATATTTATTTTTCACCAACCAACCGAGAGATTATTAGTTAGAACAACAATACATATGTCACTATCTCAACAAAGTCTAAAAGGGCAAAAGTAATAAACTTGAAAGGCTGTTAGTCAATTTTCGTCAACTACATACACATACACACACATTCTCCTGTGCTGGATGACAGATACCTTCCCACAAAAACCAACAAACAAATGTGGGCACTAGAGCGAGAAATCGGGGCATTAATCTTGCAAGTAGTGAAACAAAAGCAAGAAGCAGGATACAAGAAAGATCTACTGCAGAGTCTTCTGGAAGGTGCTAGAAGCTGTTACACCACCTCGGCTGCTATCGACCGGTTTATTATTGACAATTGCCGAAACATTTACTTGGCCGGTTTTGAAACATCAGCCGTGTCAGCCTCTTGGTGTCTCATGTTGTTGGCATCAAACCCTGAATGGCAGACACGTGTCAGACTTGAGATTGACCAAGTCTCTCATGGTCGGGTCCCGGACCTGGACATGCTCCGAAAGATGAAACAGGTAATTTATTAATATATAAAGAGACAATGATATTAACTTAAAATAGCAACTAAAAATCTGCAATAAAACATTTGGTTTCCCGCCTAAAGTATTTACTATACCGAGTAATATTTTTTGTCAAAATTTTAAAAGTCTCGCCTAAATTAATGTACAGTATAATTTTGGTCAAATATTGCGACTATTTCTTTTAGTAGTTGCATGATTTAAATTTGGAATATAATATATTGACAAAACTTGCAGCTATTACCTTTATTAGTTACATGATTTAAATTTGATACATAATATATTAAAAAAAATAAAAATACTTTTATTTAAATTTAAAAGTTAAAAATATTTATTCATAACTTACTGGTCAATATTAACTTGGATGTAAACGAAATAGTCAATTATTAAACGAAATAGTCAATTACTTATAGTTTATAAATTACTAACTTACTTAATTTTTTTATTTGAATAGTTTATACAATAATAAATTATTTTAAGTATTGAAACAATAAAAAAAAATTATATTTATACTTATTATTCGCATAGGTTGTTAAATCTATGATAACATTTTACGAAAATAACTATTTTATGGAATCACATATAGTCAAATCGATTTTCTGAATAAAAATTTTGAAATGATACTTATTTTGGAACGAATATAATGTAATTTATTATCAGTTATGTACACCGCACGAGTTGTATACTAATTTTAAATAGACATTTTTATGTAATTTTGCACAATTTAAACTTTATATAACATTTTCAATAAAATACGTAAATTGTATTACATATTGATTCCATATTCTTAATTTATAAATATTATTTAATAAGAATCTTTAATTTAGAAATATTAATGAATATCTCTTACCCGTACACTGCACGAGACTCATACTAGTAATTAAATAAGATACCAAAAATTAATTCTTAAGAAAAACACTGCAATCTTTTACTATTCATTATTGTTGCTCAAATTTTTTATCTTTTGTAGTTGCACATGGTAATTCAAGAAACAATGCGACTTTACCCGCCGACCCCAACGCTATCCCGGGAAACATTGAAAGACATGAAAATAGGTGATTTACGGGTCCCAAAGGGAGTTAACGTTTGGACAATGGTGGCGACCCTGCACACGGACACAGCTATCTGGGGGCCAGATGCCCTCGAGTTCAAGCCCCAGAGGTTCGAGAACGGGATTGCGGGCGCGTGTGCAAGTCCGAGCTCATACATGCCATTCGGTTTCGGGCAGCGGGTATGTCTCGGGCAGCACCTGGCCATGGTCGAGCTCAAGCTGCTAATATCCCTTCTACTGTCAAACTTCTCGTTCGAGCTCTCACCTAATTATGTCCACTCGCCTGTTATGAGAATGATGATTGAACCTAAATATGGTGTTCGACTTCTGGTTAGAAAGGTGTGACATGGAATGATCACTGATTCACTACATCAAATGAATTATGATAAACAAAATGCCAAAAAGAAGAACAAAAAAAATTT